ACACTCAGAGTAAACTAGATTTAACTGGCCTGAAATAGATCCATTTGCTCAGCGAAATCAAGGCCTGCTGTTTGCTGGAGACCTGGACACACTTATTTATTGCTCAGTGGGAAGCAGCCATTTGTGACAGGAGCAGGTGAATGTTATGTATATATTATTTTTTAAGTTGAATGCACACTGGCCCTTGCTCAGCCAGAGTAATGCCAACTTAACACCTTGTGCACTGTCATAGTGAACTTATTGCAACCTAGGAAAAAAACATAAGAAACACTTACAACCTGTTTCTCAACCTACTGAATACATTCAGACTGAATAAGAGTATTAACCTCAGCCGGTGACAAAAAATCGGTTTAAGTTTTTCACATTTAGCCAACAATATAGCAGGAGGACAAGGACAATTCTTATCCTAAGTGACACATGATGCTACGTTTTATTAGCTTCCCCCCTAATACCTTAGAAAGCAAAAAGAGGTTGGACCCTAGTAGCGCTATTCACAAAGCCTACTAAGTAAAAGGGTTGCTCTTACTGATGTAATTCTATGAAAATAATATGAATCATGACATCATGAAGAGCATCTTAGTCCTTAAGAGAGCTTCTAATGGGAAAAACTGTCAGGAGTAGTGAAGAGGATTGTTAAAAAGTTTAAGAATTTCTAAAGATGAGGTTAAAACAGTGGAAAGGCGCAGAGATAGGTTTTCACACAAACAATCACAGCACTATTCCAGCCACCTAATATCAATAAGAGTGAAATGACTTATTATTACTTTTGTTGCTAATAAACATGAGAAAACAGATATAAAGGTACAGTATGGAAGGACTCACACACAGAGGTCTGAAGCAAGACAGGAGTCTTAATTGAAAAAATCTTAATGAATTATAGCAAGGCTGAACAGTCAACAAAAATGTATTAAGACCATGTTAAATTTTCTTCAGTGCAAAGTGAGGCATGCATGGTGAGTCCCTCTTAATGTGGTCTACTCCACTGTTCACTGATTCAAGGTTAGAGATTTAGTCCATAACTTGATTTTCATAAAATAGTGTTCATGGTTAATCAAAGTCTAACTAGATTCTCTGACTAGACTAAATGATTTCACTGTCCTATGCCCGTTATCACTAAGAGAAAAATGTGTATTACTTTTTTTTTCATCAACCAATCATAGCTTTTGAAATAATGTGTCATACTTTCCCATAGCAACAGTGTCGACCACGCCTCCTCTAAGAGGTCAAAGTCAGTAGAAGGTTGTGTCAACAGCACATGATTTAGCTCCAATTTTATGAACACCTGTCTGTGGCCTTAATCTACTACTATTGTAAAAATATGTTGTCTATGCAGAATGAGTCTCGTTCATTTTGTGTAAATTATGTATTTGTTTTTTAAATGTTACATCTAACACATTAAAATGACATTTCAAGCTTGCTGCCTTTGTATTCTCTGTTTTTCTCTTTTAGAATACCTTCTTCAGTCATATCTCATTGGTCAGTATCCTATCGGACAGAGCGGGGTTGATGACATGTTAGTGCGATGGCTAAAGCAAACACGTTCATGGTTTGAAATCACATCTACTGCACAAATCAATAATTAATCGAAGTCACCAGTAGGGGCTCTGGCAGAAACAGAGACAGTGAGGTTGACTTGGGGTTTGAGAAACTTATTCACACTTACCCTGGGATTTTTGTGATATTGAGTTAAGTAAAATGGCATACCAAAGTAAAAAATCTGGTGGTTTGGACTACAAGTTGGGTACAATAAGTTATGAGAATCAGAGCAGTTTTTTTCTCATGTGAATGCAATATGCTTCTGTGGTAATAAAATAGGCCATTTGAACTTGAAATATAGAATGGATTTCTCTTTTCAGATGGTGATCAGTCCAGAAGCATTGTAATGATAAATTATTCCCTTCACATATACAACTTAAGAACCTAGAATACTGTATGTCAGTCCCGCTTTATAACAGCATTTAAGCTATCTACATTTAGTATATACTGTATACTGTGACGTCCTGCCTTCTCTGCCTGCATGTGTTTGGTTTGGTTGGGTTTAACTTCCTGGCTCAGCAGCCAATAGATGGTAAATGGTAAATGGACTTGAGCTTGTAGACCGCATGTCACACCTACCCATTCCCACACTGATGGCAGAGGTTGCTATGTAGTGAGACCATCAGAAGTAACTAATCCCATACATACACTTTAATACACCAACGACGAAGCAGCTGGAGCAATTTGGAGTTAAGTGTCTTGCCAAGGACACATCGGACATGTTGCTGCAGGAGCTGGGGATCGAACCCTCGACCTTCTGGTTTAAAGAGTTGAGAGACTCTACCAACTGAGCCACAGCCTTCCAGAGTCGGGAAGGACTTCAGGAAACTGAGTTAATCAGGCCTCAGCTTTTTTTAAGTGGCGTCCACTCTGACATCTCTCTCTCTCCTCTCTTCCTCCACCAGCTGGTTTGGTTTTATTTGCACTTCACTTGACCTACAATTCTACAATTCACTTAGCAGACGCTTTTATCCAAAGCGACGTACATCAGAGAGTAAGTACAACACAAGCAAGGATCTAGAAAAAAGGGAACAATGTCAGTAAGAGGAAACGATCAGCTTTGAGTCCGATTGGACACACAGGTGCTGACAGGAAGTGACCAGAGGCAAAGCACAACATTGAGGGCAGTTCTTAAGAGCTCTAATCAGTATAGAAACCATCTTATAAGTCGTCATTATCAAACAAAAAACCATCGTCACAACCATCATCATCATCAATAATATCAAGACTATCATCATTAAGTTAGTAGGTATTCATGAAAGAGCTGGGTCTTTAGCTTTTTCTAAAAGGTGCAGAGGGACTCTGCAGATCGAATGGAGTTTGGAAGTTCATTCCACCACCGGGGGGCGACAGAGGAGAAGAGTCTAGTCAGAGACTTAGGATCCTGTTGTGAAGGTTGGATCAGACGCCTTTCATTGGCAGAGCGTAGTGGGCGGGAGGGAGTGTAGACCTGGATGAGAGAGTTAAAGTAAGGAAGAGCCGTTTTGTAAGCGAGCAGCAGAGTTTTAAATTTGATGCGAGCAGTAACTGGGAGCCAGTGTAAGGAGATGAACAGCGGAGTGACGTGCTCTTTTAGGAAGGTTGAAGACCAGTCGTGCTGCTGCATTTTGTATCATCTGCAGAGGTTTGATAGTGCATGTAGGAAGACCTGCCAGTAAAGAGTTGCAATAATCAATGAGTGAAGAGCCTGTACCAGGAGCTGTGTAGCATGTTCTGACAGGTAAGGTCTGATCTTCCTGATGTTGTACAGGGCAAATCGACATGACCGGGCAATCGAAGCTACTTGAACCTTAAATGTTAGCTGGTCATCAATCATGACACCCAGGTTCCAGGCAGACTTTCTGAGCATGAGTTTGGTTGTTCCAAGCTGGATCTTGATCTGTGGTTGCATAGAGGGACTGGCTGGGATGAGAAGGGACTCAGTCTTTGAAAGATTAAGTTGAAGGTGGCGTTCATTCATCTTTGAAATTTAAGTGCTCAGCCCAAACAAAGCCTGACAACGACCCACTATCAATATCTACTCAAAGCAATTCTCGATTCACCCACCTAGCCGACAAGACCTTCCTAGTTTTCAGATCAGAGCTTGTTCTGATCTCTTTTGGGTCAGAGATTTACTGGTAAAGATAAAAAACCCATCTTGGAGAGGAAGTGTGGTCAGTTGCGACTCTGGTTGACAGCGAGTAAAAAATAGGGACGACGGTAGGGATGCAGCATGTTGCCCAATTGGAGCATAACTGTGACCTTGTGATGATTATAAACTCAGCTGCTCATTACCACTGTGCTCATGTTGTAAACACCAGGCATATTTACAGCAGCTGTTGGTTTAATTGGCTTTTCAAAAGGTTAATTCTTACAGGGTAACACCTCGGAAGAAATATGGCTCCATGATGTCAGAGACGCAGTGTTAGGCTGTTGATGTTGTGCCAGGCAAGTCAACAACAGAATAAACAGCTATTCTTACATACCAAAGACTAGATGAACATATGAACAATGGACATAGCCATCACAAAGTCTCTGATTGGTTTATTGACCGTTATATGGGAGTTTCTAGTTTGGCATTTTGGTCCTTACTATGCAGCTGTTTTTGGAAGCCAATTTTAGCTTTATATGGTTTGATTCACATTTCCTGAATAGGTTTCAAGCGGACTCTCCAGGAACTAGAGTTTTTGGCAGATTAGCATTTGGCCTCATCCTTATGCTACTCTTGTTACAAACTAACTGTTTACATCACAATGTTAGAGCTCTGCCATCGGTGAGTTCATTCAGGGAAAGACATTGTGTTATTGCTTGTATATTACAGACTTCTTTTTCAATAGATATGTTTGGCAATGTTTTGCCTTTTAAAAAAAAAACGCAAAGCTGCAGACATTTTCCCCTGGAGTTTTGCCTTTGAGGCCACAGCTTCACCCTCTCAGACACTACTGAGGGCATAGCAACACAACACAAACATGGCAAACTAATGCGAGTTTTCACAGTTATTATGTCATTATTATTCCATTGTACTCTAATAAAAGACGTTTTTCTACACCAGCCAAATAAAAAGATAGGCCTAAAAAAAACAAAACACTTGGACAACATTTTTCATTTTTTCATTTCATTTTCTTTCATATTCTCGCCAGTGCATCATAGTAGAACTGCTCAGTGCCTCTTTACTCTTAAACAACACAATATAACAACTGTTGGGGTTAAATGTGAGACTTGTTAAAACAACCAGAGAAAAATAACCAGGTAGGCTAATCCCACTGTGAATTTTACATTTCAGTCTTCTGTCGCAATTAAAACTGATGGTACTTGAGAAAACACTTTAGGATGGCTACATTATATGAAAATAAATGATGTAATTCGGGACGCGCTATAAACCACTAGAAAGGCAAATGAGTGATTTCAAAGAGATGAATAAGAAAGTGGGCTGAGTGAGTGTGCGCGCCCCTCCTACCCCTCACTCCTCTCCGTGAAAGCCACACTCGAACATGATCTGGCATTAAGGCTCGGGATCCCTTTGGCAGCTGTAGGAGAGAGACGCAACCGGGAGCCTCGAGGCACAAACTCGTCAGAAAATGACCGTGGAGAGAATATTCGACGAGCTTGGACATTTCAAAAGGTAGGCTCTCAGATGCATCTGTACTCTTTGTCAAGTCTTTACTAAGTTGGTGTATTTATTATGGCACCAAGCTGTGAAGATTTGGAGTAGTTGTTAACATCTAAAGTTATTTTTATTCCATCGTACAAAATCGTTTTTGAAAACAAACAATCCAAACAACATTGGAGGTCATTTCCTTTACATGCCACTTTACTTTGATTTTGAACAGTTATAGCCCAACTTCTTGTTCTACCATATGGCTATGATTAATGAAGGCTCAGTCTTCACTTTTGTGTACTGTGTGGCGATTTTTGGAATATAATGATGTAGCATTTCAATTGTTATTAGAACTGCTTCTCCATTTGAAGTGATGATGAAACACGTCTTAACTGTAGTGTACTAAAAATCAAAGCTGCCAGAGTGTAACTATTTCAGGGAAAATAAAGGCAACACTTTAAAGGCTGTTAAAGGCTTTATATGCGATTTTTCACACTTAAATATAATAGAAATCAAGTATATCCTCTGAAAATAACTCTGTGAGTAATGACTGTCTACAATGGGTGAAACACCCGAGTCCCACTGTCTGTGATGTTTTCCGAGTTCTATCTTCAGTTTGTTGACATTGCCAGGACGGCCGGCTGACTCCTCCCCCAAATAAAAGTTGCTTAATTGAGGGACTAGAGAAAAGAAGAGTAACATAGGCTACTGTACTCACTGCTGAACTGTGTTTCTAGATCACGCTCATTTCGGGTAAATTTACATGCAGTGTGAAGATAGGAGCATAATAAAGATTGCTAGCATTTGGCATAGCAAGTTGTTTTGGTTTCATGCTGGTGCTCATCTGCTGGATCAAAAAATCACATATAAAACCTTTAATAAAGAAGCATAGCTTCTCTTATAGCAGCCATTCAAATTGCCGCTGTTTGTGATTCTCTTAAATTTTTATTTTTTAGCTGAGCCAAATCGGCTAGCCTATATGTATTTATTATGGGACGCAGTGTAAAGATGACCATTGTTTGCTCAGCTGCCATATCACTCGTCATCACTTCTTCACCTCTGGTTTAAACAGATGTTTAATACATTTTCTCTCCCTCTAGGTTTCAGGCATGTCTGTACTTTGCTGCAGTCTTTCAGGCCGTAGCCTGCGGGATCCACTACCTGGCCTCCGTCTTCTTAGTGGAGACCCCAAACTTTGTGTGCGGCGTGCCCAGCAACATCACAGACGTGCTGTACGGTAACCTGACAGGATCTAGTCTGACGGACCTCCTGCCAGCCTTCAAGGAGGCGATGGGGCCTCTGGTGGTGAGGACGGCCGAAGGAGAGCAGTGGGAGCTCAGCCAGTGCCACTGCGCCCTACGCACCAACCCAACACACTTCACGTATGACTTTGACGGCAACAAAACGGTGGAAGCCTGCAATGGAAACTTTGTTTACGACCGCACTGAGGTTTACCAGAGCATCGTGACGGACTGGGACTTGGTGTGTGAGAATGGGTGGCTGGCCAAACTGTGCCAGCCCACCTTCATGCTCGGGGTGCTGGTTGGAGCGCTCGTGTTCGGGGACATCGCTGACAGGTGGGCAGAGTTGTGAGAAGGAGTTGGTGGGTACAATGGCAGAGAGAAATAACACTTGAAGGTAAATTATAGCACATAAGGCACATGGAGTAAAGGTTCACCTTATTAGGAAGTTGTTCACCCTTGTGCCAAGACCGGATACTCTTTATATAGCCTTAGGAGACACTTATTCCTCAACATGATGACAACATTATCTCTCGTGTCAAGTGGCACAAGAATACTAATATAGTTAACTCATAGGCAGTACACGTATGAAAGAAGTGATGAGTGTGATAAACTGGTAAGAAAAGTGGATGATGGGACTGGAGGAATATCTTGGGACACTTTGGAGGGATCAGGTGACTTGGCCTAGATTTATACGAGTTATGCATAGTTTGGCTCGTGGCTGACCTGATTGACAGGCGGGCACGATGTAAAAGCTTGTCAAGAGGCTTAAAACTAGCCTCAGGTCCAGCTCTCTGTCGATAGGTTGACTGAACGTTAGGGTGAGACAGCATTTCCAGCCATCGACAGGCTTCCAAAGCTGTCGCAGTAACAGATGACTGACGTCACTCTGGCTTTGTCCACTGTGATGCCCAATCATCTTCAAGAGTTAAAATAGAAGACGCTGAAGATAAAGTGCTGATGACTGTATGTTTTTTTTGTACGAGTTGACCATCATCACAGCCCCCACACATTGTTACATCCTTTAACATGTTTGAAAAAAACTCTTGAAAACCCGCTGGTTCTCTCAGTTTATGGACTTGGTTAACTGTGTAGTCTTTATTTGTGTGTTCTGATGTAAAGTGTCCTCAGGTCCCTTGAAAGGCATATTTAAGCTATTATTATTTTTTTTTTTTTTGGGGGGGGGGGGGGGCTTTTTGTGCCTTTAATGGACTGATAGGACAGTGGATAGAGGTGGAAATCAGGGAGAGAGAGAGGGGATTAACATGCCGGAAAGGAGCCACAGGCTGGATTCAAACCCGGGCCGCCCGCGTTGAGGACTACAGCCTCCATACATGGGACGCGCGAGCTAACCACTGCACCACCAGCGCCCCATTCGAGCTATTATTAACATTATCATTTAAGAATATTGGTGTTAGACTTCATCTCTGCCTGATCTACACAAAAATATCTACATTTCCAACCAAAAGTTGATCGCATCACAGCTAACATTATAAGGAGTAGCTCAGTGGCCTTAAAATGTCCTTTTTGTACCTGAAACTTTATTTAATCAGTGATATTTAACATGCAATGCCTCGGTTATAATATTCATCTAGTGACACCTTGCTTACAGCATTATACTAGAGTGCTGCACCTGAAAGGCCTAACACATCTTTGACAAAGAAATGACAATATTTAATACATAAACTCTCTTTCTCACTGTCTATCACCCTCTGTCTCTCTTCCTCTCTCTTCCTTGGGTGCCTCCCTCCTCCAGAGTCGGTCGCGTGAGGATTCTGATGTTGACCAGCCTCTGTCAGTTTGGGCTCGGGGTGGCTGTGGCGTTCTCTGGAAACTATTATTTCTTTATGGTGCTGCGCTTCCTCCTCGCCATGGTGAGTACAGAGTGTATTTATGCCTACATACTGTATGTATCATATGTGCTCTTGTTTTTGGATGCCAATTTCGGTGCACTGAAGGAATCTCACATTAGTTGCGGTGAAATGTGTTTTGAGTAAGAGAACCTAGAAAATGCACTCTCTGTGTAATTAAGTGTCCAATTTCCTCTCTTATTCAATCTCCAAAGTTTTCTTTAGTACATTTAGAGCCGCCTCCTTTTAGTCATCCTGCAGTCCCGCCAACATGCAAACCATCAACAGATGTCTGCTCCAGTTGTAAAATACAAGGCTATATCTAGAACTGTGTAACTATAGGTTTACGTACAAAGTATTTTGCCAAAATCTGTATAGTATTTTTTTTACTATGACTTACATAAGGAAGAATAGCTAATTATGTAGTAAAAGCATTCAAAAAGGATTTCAATTCAGGGAATGAAATAAATTAGAACATAACATTTGTCATATTTATGTTATGCGTTAAATATCTAAAATATCAACATCAAAACAAAAACAGATCCCAAACTGGTGAGGGTCAGTTGGTGCAGCATTAAATAAAATACATTCACAGACCCCATGTTCACAGAACACAGTGATAAGATGTTAAAACAATAGTCGAGTTCTGTTTACATGTATTCACGTTCATTTTTTCTGTGTGTATGGTAATGCATTAAAAGCATGTTTACTAGGCAAAGGAAGGAAGTCATTACTCCTTCAAGTCCACATGGTAGTAAAGTTGTTCTGAAAGAGCCACTACAGTCGCCCCACTGTTTGACTCCTTCTGGCCTTCTACCCCCCCACTCCCCCCCCACTCCCCCCTCTGTCCTCCACAGCTACAGCTGTTGCTTTCACATAGAATCAAACTTCAGATAGTGTACACTCTTACTGCCCAGCTACATTTCACACAGCAAAGAATCAGTCTGCTATTAACTCTGACAAAGAAAACTACATGTGCGTGTCACAGATATATCAACTCATACTGTAACTGTAAATTATAAGCAGTCCGGTGATTCTTTCCACAGATATTGTAGAATCATGCAAATGGTCAGAAGTGATCCCTATGTAGTTTAATGATAGTGTCAGTTTTCTACTTTATAGCAAGCATGTAACGTTTAAGAGAAATCTGACATTGAGATGATTGCATTTGATTGTTTCAGTAGGTCATCTGATTCTGTATCAACAATAACTTCATTTATTTCAAGCAGGAGAGACTCAAGTAAGAGTGTACATTTTTTTATACAGTTTGAGAAAAGATATGCAATTTCTTTGGCGACTAGACTCCGTCATGATGACGACATGCACTCAGAGGTGTAGGGAGGCTGACAGCAGGATAGGATGACCCCCCCCCCCCCCCCCCCTTATGTACTGTAGATACTTGTGTGTGTGGTGATAGAAGAATGCAGGATTTGATGAGGAGTGGGTTTCTGAGGCTGGATCTAAACTCTGCTTAGCTGGAATGGAGGTGACTGGGGCGGAGGAGGGTCGCAGCGACAGCAAGGAGATGGTGGAAGTGGTAGAGAGGGAGTGGCTAAGTTGATTGAAGAAGAAGTTAAATGAATGTGTGAGAGAATATAACCAGTCTTGTTTGAACTTAAGCTGAGCGCCAATAACAAAAGGGCAGCTAATTCTTCTTCCTGCTCCTGTTTGTTCGTGGACAGTTTGATGTATGTTGTGTCACTGTGTTGGAAATCATACACTGAAACGAGCAAAACCAGTAAACCAAATATAAATGAATGAATACATTAATTAAAGGAAAAAGTGATAATAATCTATAATATACTCTGGCAAAATCTGTAAGCAAACTTTAAATACATTTCGCTCCCGTACTGTAATTTTATGATTCTCTGATTTCAGTATGTGAGTTAAAGGAAATTCAAGGGCCTTTTAAAAGTCTAAAATATTTAACATCCAAACACTGTGTCAGAATCACCTCAACAAAAAAGCACAAAGACCTCTTAAATGCAGTTCAATAAAGACCCCTAAATTACCAATACATTATTCAAGCTGCTTCATTAACGGAACATTTTTCTTCATTCCCTGTCTTTCTTGCCTCTTTGCATCTTTCAATCGTCTTTCATAACTTTTCCTTTTCTCCTTCCATCTCTGCTTTCTTCAGGTGTCCAGTGGCTACCTCGTGGTGGTGTTTGTCTATGTCACAGAGTTCACTGGCACCAAGGTGCGAACATGGACCTCCATGCATGTGCACGCTGCCTTTGCCGTCGGCATCATGGTGGTGGCTCTGACCGGCTACCTGGTGCGGGTCTGGTGGATCTACCAGATCATCCTCTCCACCTGTACCTCCCCTTTTCTCTTCTTCTGCTGGAAGCTCCCCGAGACGCCTTTTTACCTGATGGCAAAGGGCCGTTATAAGGACGCTCAGTTCCTGCTGGACACGATGGCCCGTGTGAACGGCATTCAAAGCAGGGTGAAGGTGGAGGAGCTGCTGGAGCCGGAGGAAAAGGAGAATGGCAGACCTCTGCTGGAGGAGTCGGAGGGGAAGGCGACACAGTCTGAAAAGAAGCTGTCTATCCTGGATCTGTTCGGCACCTGGAGGATGGCGGGCCGGACGTGCACGGTGTGGGCCATCTGGTTCATTGGAAGCTTGGGCTACTACGTGTTCTCTTTGGGCTCTGTCAACCTCGGAGGAAACCAGTATGTTAACCTCTTCCTTGCTGGTAAGTGCACTCTGCATTAAGAAAGCATGAAACAGGTTGTTTTGAAACAGCTAAATCATACAATGTCATTTTGGGTAATCCATTTGTGTGTTTATTTGTGTTTTGATTTGGATCAACTCTTTGCAAATGCTATTCTTATTTCAAAACGTTTGCTTTTAAAGGCAAAGTGGGTTTGTGTTTCTGTGTGTTTCAGTGTGTGAGCAGGTAGCCTGTTTAATCGAATAACAAAGCCACCTCTTCCCTTGCAAACAAACAGGCCTCTTAGCAATGTTCATTCCTGTTTACCAAGCTGAAAAGGGTCCTACTGGAGAATCTCCACTGTAATGCTATTTACTGTTTTTGTAATGTATTATAAAATATCATGTTCACCATTGGCTGAACTTTGCTGAAGTATTGTTGTTATTTACGACCTCTGGTTTGTCTTTGTTTACTGTTTTGTTTCTCGTAACTGAGCATTAAAATAAGCCTGAGAACAATTAAGTAAAGCTACAGCTCTTCATCTGAAAGATGAATACTTCCCCTGAAGTTTTTATCTAATAAAGAAAATTAGATTTGTACTGTAATACATATTTTGGTAAACATCTCAAGAACTGATGCACTGCTTATTTAATGTTGTGTTGAAAGCAGACTTTGTTCCCAGGCCATTTCCCAGTATCAACTTTAGACTGAACATGATAAATACTGTGCTTGAAACTAGACATGCTTGGGAACTAATTTGTGCCAAAGCAGATGATGATAGCATTAATAACAAAAAATAAACATACTAAATAGGTACTTTCTCTTGATGACTCTTGCGTAATGCTGTAATGTAATTTATGTCTTCTGGTTTCCAGCAGGAACAAATATTATCTCCAACTATGTATTCAGAGACTTAGAGTAAAGTACACTTTTGGAGGCTGAGCTTGACCAACATTTCAGCCAGTTATTGGCGACCCCTCATACAGAATGTGATCTATGTGTGTATAGGCTACGATAACCTCTGACTGAGAGCTGTTGTCGCTGGCTGATTCCAGGTGCTGTAGAGATTCCCTCTTATCTGGTTGGCTGTTTTGCAATGGACCGGATTGGCAGGAAGAATACTTGTGTCCCAGCTCTGCTCCTGGCCGGGATCGCCTGTATGCTCATCATTGTGGTTCCTTCTGTAAGTACTCGCAGTGTATTTTCTTGATGCTAACCACCTTTGTGGGGTCCCCTGAAGACATCATCAAAACAGCTGTTTCTGTGGGTGTGTAAACCAACTACAGACCTAAATATTGCAGTGAATATTTAGCTCTTCAAATTATAGTTTGTAACAAGGCTTCTATTAAAAATTGTTTAACGCAGCCAGATTATTAAAAATCGTGCCTAATATGAAAACACCCTGAGGGGTGGCAACCCCCCCCCCCCCCTTGTAATTAGCCAATTGGCCACCCTTGGTGATACCCAATGTTCCCAATGCTATTATTGGCTCTTTGCTCAGACAGAGTTGGGACTTAAGTCAAAAAAAAGTCTGGACACAACCCTGCTTCTTTTGTTCTCACAGTCTTCTTTGTTTTTACTGAACTGTGTAGATCCTCCTATCATATCAAGTTGTGACTGTTATTTAATGGGAACCATGTGTAAGGATATTGGAATAAGCTAACTGTAATATGGGGCTATTTCTGAACTGGCACAAATTGTCTGAACGTCGAGCTCTTGAGTTTGTTGTCATGACATTGTCCACAGTAATAAAACTCTTGTTACTTTATTTGATATACAACACATACAGTTCCAACTTTTTATGTTCTGATCCCTGACCCAATTTGCATTGCTTATGGTTGGCCTGGCAAACAGCTGCTTCGTAATTTCCAAGTAAATATAACCTTTGACATGGAAAGCCATTCCAAACCGAGTGGTCTACAAACAGAGTTGACACAGGGAGCTGAAAAATAGCAGCTTGGAGACAGAGGAGACAGCAATGACAGAGAGTCATCTATGTAGCTCTTACTCATATACTCATATACAGATTTACTCTCACATACCTGTGTGTAACTTTAAAAAAAACAAAAAAACTACATGGACAAATGTGTGTGCAAACGTGCCATGTGTCAGACAAAAATAAATATGAAAGAAGAGATTCATTGTGGAATAAGTATTAAGAAGAATGATTAAGTAGAATAGTTGTTTAAGGGACAGTTGCTTAGAAACAGGACTTAGATACAGTGGACATTATTATGTTACCCGATGAGACCTTTCACCTATAGCTAAGTCCAGCTAGCTTGGCAAATTTAGTGTTATGAGAAGGATAGCTTATCTTCACAGCTCTTCCTTCCTAGTTGCTTCACTCTGCTGTTATATTGTTTATGCAGTCCATTTTTTTAAACTTCCTCTGCCATCTGTGTCTTAATAATGTCTCAATTTATCAGTATCTTTTTGGACTCAGCACATATTTTATGTGTGTTGAGGGTGAATCATACTCTGATGTCATCATTATTTCATTAGGATCATTTTACATTTGAAGAAATATTCTTTAAACTGTCAACAGAAGAGACAATAGTACCCAGTCTAATGTTGTTTCTATTGCTGACTGGCTACAGTCAGAAGACTGTTAGCTTAGCTTACCATAAAAAACTGAAAATGGGGGAAACAGCTAGCTTGACACCATCTAAACAGAATGAACCTACTAGCACAAGCTCACTAAATAAAACGTTAAATCTAAATCTAAATCTGCTCCCTAACTGCTAAGCTAAGCTAACAGGCTGCTGACTATGCGGTTTGTTTAAATCTATCCCCCATCCTCCATTCTTACACTAGTGCTCACACACAAAACACTAACATGAAAATCATGCACGTACAAATATTAAAAACAACCATTCCATAAAACATGTAACTTTTAAATACATCAGTATAGAATTTGTATATGCAGTTTTTTTAAAATCTACAAACACACACGTTCACGTACAGTTTAAACACATGCTAAACATTCTTTTATTAGATCAGACAAGGATGGTGCTCTTTGCTGCTGTTTTAAACTTGATTATAATTGGAGAATTATAAAAAGTCTGAAGGTCAAAGGTCAGTTGTGTACGCTTTAGTGTATCAATCATTTTTGCAGCAATGCAGAAATGTATGTCCTTAAGAATTATATTTTCTTTTAAATTTAAACATACTGAAGTTATAGTTTAAGCCAGTAAACACTGACCAATTAACTTTGTTGTCCACCACCTATTGCCCCATTTCCCACAGGACATCGAACCTCTGGCTATCGCCCTCAGCATGACAGGAAAGTTTGCAATCGCCATTGCATTTGGTCTCATCTACCTGTACACCTGTGAGCTTTACCCCACTATCATCAGGTGAGGACAAACATACTTTAATCACACAGAACCTTTAAAAACCCCATACAACATAGTTTGACTGTATGAAAGCCTGTTTAATCACAGCTGCAGATATATTGCACTTTTCTAAAACTAGAAAGTAAGTAAAGTACAGTAATCGATTCTTGTTTGTGTTGGTGGTGTTCCTCGCGTCTGTATTATCCCTCCAGGTCTCTGGCAGTGGGTAGTGGGAGTATGATGTGCCGTGTTGGCAGTGTGGTGGCACCTTTCTGTGTGTACCTGTCTGACATCTGGATCTACCTTCCTCAGGTATACTGCACAAGTTCTCTTTAAGCGCCAAAACCAGACATTATTTAATGTAGAATTCTGGGTTTTTAACCTTTTTATCCTGTTCCTATTTGCTATAATATTTAGTTAAAAGCGTGTCCTGACTCCTGGTGAGAAAAAAAATGGACTAATTGCGTTTTCCTTTCATCATAATCTTCATGTAGCTCATCGTTGGAATCCTGGCCTTTATTATCGGAGTGCTGACATTGTTGTTGCCGGAGACCCTGGGCAAACCTCTAACCACCACCTTGGAAGAGGCGGAAGCTTTGGGACTGGAGCCCAGCAAGAAGAGCTCAGCGCAGGGCAGTAAATGTGCTGAGGAGGGGCTGGAGATGAATAAACATTAAGCTGGAGCCTGAGCTGAGAGACTCTTGTGGAGAAGATTTGCGGATACAAAACAAGGGAAAAGAGAGGAGGTGAAGCCTGCCGCAAAATAGTAATGTCATTGATTCGCTTTATATTGATGCAAAAAAATAGTAGAAAAACACACTTTCCTCAGAACTTGTTGAAATGTGTTAGTTGACAATTTATTCTGCCAAATGACCAACAGTTTGATACTTAAAGTGTCTTTACACATTACAGAATTGCTCCTGCATGCAAAACAGATTTCAGCAATGAAACAGCCAGTGACAGATGAGGTGCAATCACAACATTTAGGAACTAAATGTGCGTGAGAAAATCATGTGCCATATGTATGAGTCTCCAAGACCAAGGAAACATGAAGGATTGTAAAAGGTTATTTCACTTTATAAGAACGTCAGTCTTATTTTTTGCAGTTTCAATTGTTATATCTTTAAATATGATTACTTAATCAAGTGACATAGCAGGAACACAGTACTGATGCAGGTCAGAGCTGGAAATGAGAGAGTAGAGGGAGAGACCGGAGATCTTGCACCTTAAATAGAAGGCCAATTGGAAGGAGGTGCTGTCAGCTGATTGTGGATAGTGATGCATGTCAAGTGTGAAAACAATGCCACTTGAGTTGTATCCTTGAACTAGTTTGGGTGATAATTTTACTCTGTGCCTTTGTTGTCTCTGTAAAAACTCTTTACAAAACAACTTAAAACTGAGACCACCAACTCAGGTTTTTAAATCTGCAAAAGTGAGACCCAGGTTGTATTGACATGAAATCTTAATTCTGTTTACATGCTGAGATAACTCACTTAGTGTAAGTGCTGATCATGGCTGTGCTCCTCTTTTTTTGTATTCAAATTTTATGGATGCAATGTTTCTCAAAAACCGAATTGAATTTACAACTGACACTGCTGCCATTTTCCTCTGATCAATTCCTTTGAATTTGGTTAACTGACATATTCATTATAATTTCACCACTTCTTGATGGATCAACAAGCCATGTTTCAAGTTTAAAAAAAACATGTTTGATAACTCAGCTACAATCAGACAACAGCTTTCATTAGCATTTACCTGTGGCTTAAACCTAATATTAGTGTTTGGTAGTGCAAAACAACACAATGGAAAAGGTCTTAGCTTTAATGCTAACCTCATGAAATTATTGCTAGGAAGTGGTTAAATGCTAGCATTACCTGTCGTCTTTAAAAGCTATCAGGTAATCAAATATGGTGTTGACTAACAACCTTGAACACAGCTGCCTTATTTTTGAGACCTTTTTTGTCATTTAAAACTTTTAAAATCTCAAGGCATTCATTGTGGCTATCACTGTGAATTTATTGTAACTCAAACCTACCTTTATGTTTTCTGACATTAACCTCAATTTGTTCTCATTTATGATGCCATTGCGTAGCTTTCATCTAAGGTAAGTGTTTGTTTGTGTGAGTGTGTTAGTGTGTTTGCATGTTTTAGTAACAACAATAGTTGATGTCTTAGATTTCTACTTTCAGATTAAGATGCTGGAGACGCTGAAGGAAATATACTCAGAAAAAAAATACAACAGTACTGTATGTTCAAGAGCCTCAATGTGAGCTCCAAGAAGTTTGGACCAAAGGAAGGAATTTTACCACAGCATTGTGGTAGAGCTGTAGTCACCTACTTTGCAATACTGTATTGATTTATTGATTTGTTTATTTTTCATATTGAAGACTAGCACTAGTGGTGCTTTATTTTTGAAGGAGAACAAAAAAAATCATGACAATCAACTGGCATCATTACAGACGGTACTCAGGTTCAGTTTTCCATTCTGAACAGTTTTACTACCAACAACAATGTTTTTTATTTCCTTGTATGGTTTTGCTTTTATCATGGACAAATAAACAATTTAGCTAAAATAAAGTGTTTTGCTTCTTTCTGACCATTGAACACTTTTTAATGATTTATTTTTCTAAAACATAAATCATAAAACTATTGAATTTGTGTGGACGAACAGAGAAAATTATCCTTGATAAATGAGCACCTTATAAAGTTTCTCCCTTCCCACTCTGTAAGTCAAACTGGAGGGTTCATTCAATTTGTCGCTGGATCTATTTTTGTCATGCGGGGAACATGGAGCAGCACTGGCAACAGCCCACCAACACTAACAGCTTCCTATTCGCTGGTGGAGAGGAGGTCCCAATACCACAGGACAGCTCCCTCTACTCCGCCCAGCACATGAATAAACCCTCTGTGTTCAACTTTGCAAATGTATGAGCAGTGTCTCTGTGTGTGAAAGTTTGTGGAGGTGGAAAAGCTAATACTTGCCACTTCACTTGAACATTAGCAGGCAGGTTTGCTAATATAGTTCCGTCCTGATACTGATACCTCTTTATATATGAGATAATGAGGTCATTATTAGACACTGTGGAGAGAAGATTGTGTCAGGAGCTCCCCCTTCTGTTTGTGAGTGTGTGTGTGTGTGTGTGTGTGTGTGTGTTTGTGTGTGTTCTTGTAGTTATCTAAGTTGAGGACTAGGTTGTACTGCGTGTCAACAGGGGACTATACAAAATAACATTTCAAATAAGGTGACACACACATACACACACACACACACAAAAGCACTACAGTATGTACTGCCTGTTCTGATATGTTTTTCAGTTGTCAGGTACCACCAGTTTTATCCCCTTATTCATTTATTATAAGACAATGAATGTACACGAACTACAAAGGTCTCTACACAAACAGATACTTTAAGTTAAAGCAAACAGTTTGCTGCATGAGGTTTAGCAACTTTTACTTCCTTTCTGATGCTCTGATGCATTCTTTTTTACTCAACAAGTGATAGAAATGGACAGACAATTGCTTGAAATGACAATAATTTAAATATCTTGTTTGGCAAATTACAAGTAATAATCATCAATCAGCTGCAGGACTCTCCTGTGTCAACACAGCATGTACTTTTAAATACATTTTGAGACAAAAGAAATAAGATCAAGAGCAAACCGAGAAGGACAACAGGTGAGAGTGGAATATTATTTCTTAAAAATAATACGCTGTCTTCACATCAGAGGTTTAGCAATGTTGTCCTGTCTGGAGCAGAGGAGGCAATTTCACAATTGGAGAGCCAGAAGGCTGCAGGATGGGTGGAGTGATGGACAGGATGCTCAAGGGAACACAGAGCTACACATGGTGGGAGCAGAGTGACGGTGCTGGACCTGGTCTTGAGGCTCTTTGAGTCGCTGCCTGTCATGTTTGTAGCAGCAGATTGAGGAAGAGATGAAGGTGCAGAATACCTGATGTGGAAAAGAGACTGCAACCAACTTCTTCACACAAAACTTGCACACAAAAAGCAAATAAGAGTAGAGACAGAAGCTGACATAGTATGAGGACATTTATTTTGGAGATGGTAAAAATGATGTACTGCATTAATTATTGTTAACCAGTTTTCAGCTGTTGATATAAACTCTTTCCAGACACCCTTCAAATGGCAAAAACATTGTTTCATAGCCGCCAGAAACCAAAGATACAAATGATCAAGTTAATAAACACTGTTGTTTTCCTTCCTGAGAATCTTAACCGGAATGCAAATGAATACAAAATAATAAATACAACTGGCAACAAAAAGGAAACACTGAAAACAAACCAGTACAATGAAAAGAGATTTGGATGGTAGAGTGATATATTAAGATGATGCACTCGTAGCTTATGGTTACTGCTCTCTGGATGGTTTTACATGAATGAATAAAAAAAAAATGCACACTAAATAGCTGCTGGAGAAAAAGCAACATGTTAGCTAGGTCTGGCATCACAGAAACAAACTCTTCAACAGTAAGACAATCCTTTTTTTTTTTTTTTTTTACTTTAAGGCAAATTAGTATCCAGTTTCGTGACCATTTGGCTGCTGAATTTTACAAAGTCACCACAGAAAAGTGCATTGCAGTAGAAACACTGATATTTGGCAAACTTTTCATCTTTGGGTTAAACGAATGACGCATCGTGAATGCTTTTTCTTTTAGGTGTTTGACCTTAAAAACAGCCTATTTTTCATTTTTTAACGTAATAAATCAATACTAAAATACACTGTTGGTTTGGTCAAACTTGATTCATTCATGCACACATTGTTGGAATTCTTTGAATTCATAATTGAGTGCTTACCGTTTAACCCTCATTTATACCTATGAATATCTTACAAATTAGACAAATGATATAAACTATAACAACTGGCAGAGGATCCTGACAGTTGCTGGAACTCCGATCGAGATTTGGCACTTCCAACAGTCCTAGACAACTAATATACAAAAAAGGGTTTTGGTATGTCTTTACTTGTGGATACAGTACCAGTTCCCATTCCAGCTTTTAGACCACTCAGCCTCTCATAAAATTATCCTCTGTCTTGGACAATGTCTCAGAAGTCCTCTCCTACAGCAACCAACTTAGAGTATTTCCCAACATAATCCAAATGTCACACTAATCTCTCCTGGAGATTACAGCAACAATGTTTATTTTGTTTTATTAAAGGAACCCAAAAAACAAGCTCAAATTGAATCCAAACTTGATCAAGGATATTGAGTTAAGCATTATTTGCCATAGTCCTTGTTATTGTTTTTGAATAGAACATTATGTCCTTCCAATTACTCAACCCTATAGTCCTCAGAGCTGTGTCTGTCATGATAGGAGTATTTTGCAAATGTAAAGCAAACAACCCTGTGTTAACACGGGCATCGTGATCCTCACACCGCTCACTTTTCCTAGGAATGCTGAAAGACGGGGGAACGCTCCCCTCTTCGCCCACAGGCCGCCTCCAGCTCTCTCCAGACACTCCAAGCCAATTAATTTAATTGGCTACGTCCACTTTTTTTCTCTACTAAGTCCTTAGGAATGGACCAGCCAGCTGTTGGCATCCTCCAAGTCTGTGTCCAGCTCCTCGTCTTCATCCAGGGGCTCCGGGGTTCGGAGGGCCAGCTCTCGAAGGAAAGCAGGAGAGTAGGCGGTGGGTTGGGAGACCGACTTGAGGCCAATTTTTTTCTTCATGAGGTGGAACTGGTCACGAATGAAGTTGTAGAACTCGTACTCGTAGCGCATGCGGTGGTACAGTACCTGCAAGGCCTCTAGAGTGGGCGTGTGTTTACGTACGGTGCCTGTCATGTTTCCCATTTTTCTGTAGTCTGCAGAAAGAACACATTTCAAATGTTTTAGAAAAATGCACTTGCATTATTTTATCTTTTTTAGGTTCTTTTTTTGGGCTAAATGTCTTAATTTGAGACAAGACAGTGTATATAGGATGATAGAGTGTGGCATGACATGTGACCAAAAGAGTCGAGCCACTTTGAGGACTACAGCCTCTGTACATGGGGTGGCGCAGGATGAAACTGTTGGCTACTGTTGGCTACCTGGTGCCTACTACATTTTTATAAAAAAAAAAAAAAAACTGTGTTTCTGCCAGTGGTCTGTCCACAATATTTGACTGGGTTGGGCTCAGCTCAGTCAATGCTTTATATATTTACTGTCAGACACTTGGCTCCAATCCAAATATAACTCTGCTGCTATGAGGTCTCTAACACATATGTATTACAGCTTCACAAACCTAAAATAAAAATTACTCTTGGATGGTTGGCACAATCTAAAGATATGTCCACAAAATTATCAAGATGAATGAATTCATGAAAATACGTACTAACAACTACGAACATAAAGCTAACCAATTGTGCATTACATTTCTGTGTATAGTTTTCAAAATAGGTTTTGACATATAAATCTAAGTAGGACACTACATAGAAATGCCACAAAGGTCTGCAGCCTGTTGCTAAACAACCCAATAAGTTCAATAGATCTTGAGAGCTGCCTCGGACTGGACAGATAAACATTCATGGTTTGTGACACCTGGGATGTCCAATCAGAATTTAGAAGAGGCCCATGCCATCCTTCTTCTGAAACTCCCCTGATTGAGAGCATTTTTGAACAAACACCTACCAGGGCTCTTGTAGATGTTGAGTACTCCAGTAAAGTAATGAGGTAAGAGCCTCTCCAACAAGAGGAGAACATCCTCCAGCTCCTCCAGGATTCCCACAAGAAGGTAGTTCTCTAGCACGTTCTGTTTGGCCCTCTCCAGAGCCCATACTCCAGGCTCCCTGATGGTAAGAGATGGAAAATAAAAGGGTAAGGGACAGGAAACCCAGAGAAACCGAACAATAAAAACGGAAAGAAGTACAACAGCAATGTCCAAAACGTGAATAGAACTTGTCATGCAATACCTGCATTGAGGATGTTGTCCACAGAAATAAGGGATGATGTAAAAAACTCTTGGGTTGGAGCACTCTGGGTAATTCTCTAGAATGCACACATTGATATCCTAAAAGCAGAAAAAAGACATACCTTTTAATATTACACGTTTTATTACTTCATGGTTTCATTCAATTAACTGTGTATGAATCCCAAACAGATTGCATTGATATGTGTCTGCCACTAGAGGGAGCCACTCGCCAGTACTGCTGTGAACACTCTGATAAACATATGAAAGGCAAACAACATCCTGAGCACTTAGATAAGCTCTGCCCCTTCACCCCAGCTGCTCTCTGAGGTGCTAAACAGCAAATCAGATTCCTGCTCACTTGAAAAAGATACATATATGAGATTTAAGGTGGAATTACCATTGTCCAGCTGCATAAATCAGAATCAATAGCTTGTTGTTATGCAGTGATTATGCAGAGGTGAACATTTTGTAGCAATCCGGACAGATATGTGAACTTTAAAACGTGTCAACATGTGGGGGGAATCAAAAAAATGAAAAGGAAAAAGTAGTGGAGAGATTAAAGACATGCATGCAGGAGGAAAGCTAGCCAGCCACGTTGTAATGTGGAACTTACAGTCAAATCCATGTCAGGTGACGTAAGCTTTA